ATGCACGGACTGGGACATGTTCAAGGCGGCTGCTACGGACAATCACCAGACGTGTGTGGAGGAGTATGCCGAGTCTGTGTCTGCATACATTCAGAAGTGCATGGAGGATGTTAGTGTGATCAAGAACATCTCCACACGGGCCAACGAGAAACCCTGGATGACTAGTGAGGTACGTGCAATGCTGAAAGCCCGGAACGACGCTTTTAAATCTGGCGACATGGTGGCACTAAAAACAGCCAGAGCCAACCTGAACCGTGCCATAAAGGTTGCAAAGCGTGCTCACAGTCAGAAAGTGCAGGACTTCTTCGAGGACCCCACGAACACCAGACGAATGTGGCAGGGCATCCAAGTCATCACAGACTATAAAGCTACTCCTCCCCCCTGTGACAACAACATCAACGACCTCAACGACCTCAACAACTACTTTGCAAGGTTTGAGGCACTCAACACCACTCCAGCGAGGAAATCTATTCCTCACTCCGATGAGCAGCCAATCAGCCTGGACGCAGCTGATGTCCGGAGAACCCTGAGGAGAGTGAACACCCGGAAAGCAGCGGGCCCTGACCACATACCGGGACGGGTGCTTAAGGAATGTGCTGACCAGCTGGCTGGGGTTCTCACAGACATCTTCAACACTTCGCTGATCCAGGCTGTGGTACCATCATGTCTAAAGACTGCTACAGTTATACCAGTGCCTAAAAAATCCACAATCTCCTCGCTCAATGATTACCGCCCTGTAGCACTAACCCCCATCATGATGAAGTGCTTTGAGAGGCTGGTAAAGGACCACATTGTCTCCAGACTTCCCCCCACATTCGACCCGTACCAGTTTGCTTACCGCCCAAACCGCTCCACAGAGGATGCCATCTCCTCTGCACTCCACCTGGGCTTACAACATCTGGAAGAGAAGGACACACATGTGCGGATGTTGTTTCTGGACTTCAGCTCAGCGTTCAATACAATCATCCTGCAGCATCTGGTGAGCAAACTGGCCCCCCTTGGTTTCAGCACCCCCCTATGTAACTGGCTGCTTGACTTCCTCACAAACAGACCCCAGTCTGTGCGGGTGGGCAACAACACCTCCAGTGTCATCTCCCTGAGCACCGGCTCCCCTCAGGGCTGCGTCCTGAGTCCGCTGCTGTTCACCCTGATGACCCATGACTGCTGCGCCAGGTCCACTACTAACCACATCGTGAAGTTTGCAGACGACACAACAGTAGTGGGCCTCATCCGTGACAACAACGACATGGACTACAGAGAGGAGGTGAAACATCTGGTTGACTGGTGCAGAACCAACAACCTGACCCTGAACGTCGATAAAACCAAAGAGATCATCGTCGACTTCAGGAGGCGCCAGCCCAGCCACACACCACTCCTCATCAATGGCACAGCAGTGGAGAGAGTTAGCAGCACAAAGTTCCTGGGGGTGCAGATAACAGACACTCTGACCTGGTCCCTTCACACCGGGCTCTTGTGAAAAAAGCGCAGCAGCGCATGCACTTTCTGCGTCGGATGAAGAGAGCACACCTCCCTCCTCCTATTCTCACCACCTTCTACAGAGGCACTATAGAGAGCATCATAACAAACTGCATCTCTGTCTGGTCCGGAGCCTGCAGTGCCTCCGACTGGAAGTCCCTGCAGAGAGTGGTGAGGACGGCGGAAAAGATCATTAAGACTCCACTTCCTCCCATCCAGGAGATCGCAAAGATCCGCTGTCTGACCAGGGCTCAGAAAATCAGCAGAGACACCTCCCACCCCACCAAGGACTGTTTTCGCTGCTGGACTCTGGAAAGAGGTTCCGCAGCCTCCGAAGCAGAACTTCCAGGTTCTGTAACAGCTTCTTCCCACAGAAAGGGGTCGGGGCGGGGGAGGCGGAGCTAAAGTGAGACCCCCCTGCTCGTGCGCTGTCGCTCTACCTTCACTTACTCTCTCATTTTTAATGAGGGGAGAGACTCCTCTGACCGGCTTCAGCTGCCTCATGCCCCCCTCACTGTCTTCAGCAAACAGTGTCCACGGACTCCCAGTTCTCCCAGTAATGAGATCATGAAAATCTTCTTTCATTGAATGATATTTATTCATTATATTTTTAACCCAGAGAGACAGCACAGTCTAAATTACACAAATCAGTCACGTTACCGAGACGTGTGCATGACTCAGTCTGCGAGTTTAGCCGATTAAAAACAGGAAGTTATCCATTACTCTGTTTCTGTTGCCATGGTGTTGAAACTACACTACAATCAAATCGATGTTTAACAATCTTCAATCGTGGCGACAACCCGACGTGCAGATTGTGCCCGCCTGTCCCAAACAAGCCTTTGTAAAAATCTGATTGGTTCAATAGTTTGTCATTTTCTCTCCGTGGCTCAGAATGTGAATAGTTTGGAGCTTCTTCTCTGATAAACAAACAAACGTACCGGAGCTTCTTAAAGATGCTGCATCACAATAAAAGCTTTTATTTTGAAGGAGCTGCAGGAACCAGCTTGTCCGTTTGAAACGTCTCAGCTGTGAGAGGAGAGAATCGCGTACACTGCTCTTTGCTCAGTGTCACGATGTATTGAAGAAGGAGCAGATGTTTTGAGTCTCCCGACAAAGAATCAGCAAAACGTCTTAAACAGCAGCCTGTGATTGGAGACACTTTAAGGCAGGGATGTCAAACATACGGCCCGCGAGACATTTTGGGAAGAAGGAGGAAATGTATTGAAAAATATTTTGAGATTTTTTATAAAATACATTTTTGTAATATGTATTTTCCCCGAATTGTATTAAAATGAGCAACGTAAAGGTTGATATCATGATACGAATATTAATTAAACGGGGCACTTGAATTATCTTCTCAGCAAGGAGCATCATAAAAAAGAGGAGTGGCTGAGCGCACGAGCTGCTCCTGCATTACGCTAATCAGCAAACAGGCTGAACACCTGAGAGAGGTGACACAGAATGCAGGTTTTCAAGAGAGATCGAAGGAGCGATATTTCTTTAGTTTTATTTGCTCACAAGTTGCCAGAATTGTATGAAAGCTACGAGACTTAACCACAGGGGGCGCTGCACTGCACGCTCATCATGACGGTCTTCAGTTCTGTCCACTCTTCTTACCAGTTTCTCCTGGCTTGACTGATGTAAAACAAAAGTTTGGCTGATAATAACAAAGCTTCCTATGGAGTGAGCTACAAAGAGCAGCTCGTGCAAATAAAAAACAATCCTCTCTGTCCTGCGTAACGGCCCAGACCGCTCCTCACATCCAGTGTAGTTTGTGGACACCGGTGTTGAGCCTGATGCATCTCCCGACTAGTTTTACCTCTGGTTATTGTAAAAACAGTAAATTAAAATGAATAATAACTGATTTTAATTACAGATGGTTCATTTTTAGGTCACCCAGAGGTGAACTTGTTGATCACGTGAAGGTTTCAGACATCACTTCTAAATGCAGTAGCCTGCTGTTGTGCCTTTATCACCAGCTTTAATCAGACTGTAAAAATATAACTATTACTGAACATTTCATTCTTATCTGAAAACAATATCACACACAGGCTGTCCGATCATACAGAGGTCCGCTGGTTTAACTGTGGAGCAGAGCTATAATTCTTCCTTGAATTACTGCACGGAGATGGCACAGATTCATTAGAATCACGTTAGATCACGATATTGCGGACACGGAGAAGAACGGACTGCCAGACTCATATCAAAAGTGGTTTAACTGAGTTTACTTAGTTAAAGAAGTTGAACTCCACACGGAGCTGATCAGACTGCAGTGATCAACTGAAGGATCAATTCAAGTCTGTTGGTTTGGAAACATGTTATCATTTTATAATGCCTAATACTAAAATACCTGAAGATGACTGTTTACATCAAAGACACTCTGTGTGTTTGTGACAACAGATTCATGTGAGCAGGTTTAGCATCTGTGATGAACCTTAACACACACACACACACACACACACACAACACACACACACACACACACAACACACACACCACACACACAACACACACACACACACACACACACACACACACACACACACACACACACACACACACACCACACACACACACACACACACACACACAACACACACAACACACACACACACACACACACACACACCACACACACACACACACCCAACACACAACACACACACCACACACACAACACACACACACACCACACACACACACACACACACACACACACACACACACACACACACACTGTCCACTCTTCTTACCAGTTTTTCCTGTTGACTGATGGAAAACAAAAGTTTTACTAATGATTAACAAAGCTTCCTATGGAGTGAGCCACAAAGAGCAGCTCGTGCAAATAAAAACAATCTCTCTGTCCTGCGTAACGGCCCAGACCGTCTCCACACATCCAGTGTAGTTTGTGGACACCGGTGTTGAGCCTGATGATAGACTTATTTTACCTCTGGTTATTGTAAAACAGTAAATTAAAATGAATATTAACTGATTTTATTTACAGATGGTTCATTTTTTAGGTCACCCAGAGGTGAACTTGTGATCACGTGAAGGTTTCAGACATCACTTCTAAATGCAGTAGCCTGCTGTTGTGCCTTTCACCAGCTTTAATCAGACTGTAAAAATATAACTATTACTGAACAATTTCATTCTTATCTGAAAACAATATCACACACAGGCTGTCCGATCATACAGAGGTCCGCTGGTTTAACTGTGGAGCAGAGCTATAATTCTTCCTTGAATTACTGCACGGAGATGGCACAGATTCATTAGAATCACGTTAGATCACGATATTGCGGACACGTAGAAGAACAGACTGCCAGACTCATATCAAAAGTGGTTTTACTGAGTTTACTTAGTTAAAGAAGTTGAACTCCACACGGAGCTGATCAGACTGCAGTGATCAACGCTGGAGGATCAATTCAAGTCTGTTGGTTTGGAAACATGTTATCATTTTATAATGCCTAATACTAAAATACCTGAAGATGACTGTTTACATCAAAGACACTCTGTGTGTTTGTGTCTGTGTGAAGAAACTGTCCAAATAAAACATTCTCACAGCATGTGATGCAGCACCATTCACTTTTTCCTGCACCTTCTTCTACTTTGTGGCGTCTCTTTCTGTATAAAAACATCAAACAGGAAGTAGAGTTCATCAGGAGAAACTGTTCCTGCAGGCTGGGACTTCTCCCAGTCTCTGCCGGTCTGCACACTTTTGTGTTGAGAGTTCCACCTACACCAGTTTCTGTTTCTTGCGAGCCTGAAACTGCTCCGTTTTGCTTTTAATCGACTTGACGAGCATAGACAGACTCGGGTCCATCGCTTTCTTCGAGGTGAGGTCGACCGCCGCCGCGGCGTCACGGTCCTTTTCCCGTTTCTTCCCCGCCACCTGCTTCCTGTCGGCTCCCTCCCCCTGATCTCTGAGCCCGTCCTCCAGGCGCCGCTGCTCCTCGTCTCTGCGGCGCTGCTTCTCCGTCAGGATGCTCTGCGTGGCGTTGGTCTTCTTGTAGCTGGGGTGGGAGGGTCCAGGTTGAAGAGGTGGGAGGTGAACATGGCCTGGAAACGAGGGTCCTTCACATCCACCTGGACGCACAAACGAGAGAGAGGGAGAATGTTACAACATCGTCATGACCACGATTTAGTCAACACAGAGCTAACAGCCTTCCTTTGACTCCATCACACCACGAGAGAGGGAAATGAACGTCTATATATTTATTTCTTCTTCAGGTCGACTGTTCATCTTTGAACAGATCAAAACACGTTAAACGGGACGATTGTGGTCAAAACAAAAGTTTGAACATTTAGCGGCCGAATGCTAAAGTCAAGTCCTGGAAACCGGAGGACATTCAGCTGGAGCAGCACGACCTGTGACATCATCACACCCACCTGGAATTGGTCTTCCTGCTGAAGCTCCTCCCCTTCTTCTTCAGCAGCTTCTTCTTCTTCTGGCTCAGATTCTGCTGCTCCACGATCTTATCGTAATTAAAGTGTTTGTGTTTGGCTTCGTCGCCCTCGTCCTCCATCAGCAGGGCCATCTCCGCCTGCACACACACACACACACACACACACACACACACAGAAACACACACACACAGAAAACACACAACACACACACAGAAAACACACACACACACACAAACACACACACACACAACACACACACACACACACACACACACACACACACACACACACAACACACACACACACACACACACACACACACACCACACACACACACACACCACACACACACACAACACACACACAGAAAACACACACACACAAACACACACACACACACACACACACACACACACACACACACACACACACCACACAGAAACACACACACACAGAAAACACAATCACACAACACACACACACACACACACAGAAAACACACACACACACAAAAACACAATCAAACACCACAGAAAACACACACACACACAAACACACACACACACACAACAACACACACACACACACACACACACACAACACACACACACACACACACACCACACACACACACACACACACACACACACACACACACACACGTTGAGATGCTGTCTTCAGGTGATATTTACAGATGTGATAAACTCACGTGGAGCTGCAGCCATTGACCTGACCTTTTGTTTCTCCAGCTCTTCTTCCTCCTCAGCGGTGCGCTCCTCCTCCTCCCTTTCTTCTTCTTCTTCTTCTTCTGTTGCTTCTTCACGTCTGCACACACACAAAACAAATCATGACCTGACACGCTGCAGAGCTCTGAAGATCAAACAATTCAATTCAGACACGTTAGAGACACGTAAGAGCATGAATAAAAACCAGGAAGAACACTTCAGGTTTACATCCCGAGACATCTGAGCTGTTTGTTCTTCTCACAGGTAACAAGACGAGGAAGAAGAATGAAGCTTTACTCTTCTATGTTGACCTTATTGTTTCAAACTAAACTCCATCACTGACAGTCTGTCAGCTGGGTTTATAAATACAGAAAATAATTAAATTCTGAACAATTCCAGAAACCACACAGGCCTGGTGGTGTCAGACCACTCCTACAGGACTCTCCTGCTACACTGCTGCAGAAACAACAGGTTTCCATGTAGACCTCTGACTGCTGCTATGACACACAACGACCACTAGATGGAGCCCAACATGAAGAAAAAGAAGTGATCAGTTCTGTTCTGCTGCCACAACAAGCACCAAACTCTCCTAATACATGAGAGTGACTGTAATAAATGAACTCGAGTATCTTATTCACAAAGAAGATACGACGACTTTAATGAGACTCTTCCTCTTCTCAGATCAGATCAGATCAGTCTATTGAAGCTGGTATTTCACAACAGCCCTGTGACTCAGAGGGAAGAAACAAGCTGCAGTTAGAGGCCGAGCCACAGCTGAGGGAGGAGAGCTTCAGCGTCACTCTGAAGAAATGAAACTTGAAGTTTGTCAGGGTGTCGACCACGCAGCCGTCCAGAAAGGTTTCCGTTTCTCTTCAAAGAAATTAAACTAACTTCATCCAATCTTTGTCAACGACACAGCAGAGTCTCTGCAAACACTGGTGAGTACAGCTGATCATGTTTACACTTTGAACAACCAGGATTTACACTCAACTCTTCATTTCACTCTCTCTTCATACTCCAGCTTGTTAAACTGTGTGTGTGTGTGTGTGTGTCTGTAACTGAGATTCATCATTTGGACTTGAATTCATTTCTAAATTTCTGGTATCATTGTTGTTTACGATTACATCCTGCAGCCAAACTGAATTCTATTTCCTCTGGCTTTTCACAGTAAAAGCTTGACATGGAGAAACCACAATGGCTTTTAATTTGAAGGAAGCAGAGAAGGAAGTGAAATTTGTCAGCAAAGATTTGTCAGCAGTAAAATCCTGCACTAAGAATCTGTCTGCATAACAGTAAAGTTCAAAATCAGCTGTTTCACCAGCAGAGGGCGCTCTAGCTTTACAATGCAGCAACATTGATCTTTGTTGTTCTCAGCTCGGTCAGAGTTAAAAACTGCACATTCATTCAAGATTACTTCACCAAAGGGGCGCTGGTGGTGCAGTGGTTAGTGCGCGCGCCCCATGTATGGAGGCTATAGTCTTCCAAGTGAGCGTCCCGGCCTTTCTCGCATGTCATTCCCGCTCTCTCTCTCTCCCTGATTTCCGACTCTATCCACTGTCCTATCTCTCAATTAAAGGCACAAAAAGCCCCAAAAATAATCTTTAAAAAAAGAAAAAAAGATTACTTCACCAAATACTAAAAGAACATGAATTATTTCTGTCCCATAATTTGGACATTAGGAGTTGTTGGACAAAATACAGATACAGCGATATATTGTCGTCCTGAATCCTGAACACAATTATCACATCACTGGTCCAAACCAGGGTGACCACATGTCCAGATTTGACCAGGACCGTCCCCTTTTCAAGTGTCCGAGTCCCACAAATATCTACAAAACACTAGTAAGTCCCAGTTTTGAACAGTCCCTGTCCCGGTTTTAACCGACCAAAACAACACACCATGCTTGTGACACTGATTTGTCTGTACATGTGTCAATCAATCTCGGAGTTGCAGCTGTCGCTTAGCTAGCCTAGCTTATCATGCTAACGGGACCTGCTGGGTAACGACAGGTAGGCGAGCTGTCATACTGAGAGGAAGTCAGCGTTTTCCAAAGAGCTGCAGGAGAGTTACAGCTTCCTTTGAAAAGTACCAGCCAATGAATAAGCTGCGTTTACAATCTACTTCAGTCAAGCAAACGCCGCTGGCAACCAACTTAAACGAGCTGCTCAAGAGGAAACCTTTACCTGCCATCGTGTGTGATCAGTGCAGGTCACCGATCTGTGGATAGATGCATGTGGGTTTGCGGTAAATTAAAGTGTCCCGATTTGGAGCTTTAAATATATGCTCACCCTATTGTTTACATCCAAGCAGTAGAGTGAGGAGAGAAGGCCCATTAACGAAGCTACAGGATCAGCTAGTGGCTGTTGGCTGCATTACACCTTAGACTCCAGCATGGGGAGCCAACATATGAAATACACACAGCCATGTTTACACACAGCCTTCTTCCAGGAGTAAACGTTGGTGCGTATGGCTGCAACTGCTCTCAGAGAGATCTGTATTTCTGTTTGTCTGATGCTGTGCTGCTGTTGTAAGACCATCTGAACTACAGCTCACTCCGCCAACATTTGTCAGAGATCGGTATACATGACAACCAATAAAAATCCAGCCTCATCAGCCGGACAAGTAACCTGTTTCGTGATGCTCTCTCCGCTGCCAAATCTGTATATTTTGCGAACCTCATCAGGTCGGTTGAAGGGAAAACAAGAACTCTGTTTTCCACTGTAAACACCATCTTGCGACCACCTGATATTCTCGCACCTATACTCCACTGCCCACTGTAACACCCTCATGACCTTTTACAATGCGAAAATCGAAAATATTCATCAGCAAATGTCCTCCATAAAACATGTAGCAGACAGTCGCTCTTTCCAGCCTCTTCAGTTTTTAACTCCTAACTAATGATGATATTTCTAGTATCATTCAAAAATCCAAATATTCGACCTGTAAACTAGATCAAAGCCTGTCTACCCTCTCTGTCCTCTTTAATAACGACATCATCCAGGCCTCTCTCACTTCTGGTCTTGTTCCATCATCTTTCAAAAAAGCTGCAATAACTCCGACAGACTAGCTTCAATCGGATTCACTGGCACCTCCCTCACCTGGTTCAAGTCATATATCTCCGGTCGCACTCAGTTTGTTCATCTCAAAAACTTCAGGTCGCATATCTCCCCAGTCACTATACCTTCAAATAAAACACACCAAAACACATTATTATATATTTGCCTATTCTGTCCCTTCTTATTATTGCTGTTTGTGTTTTTCTTTAGTTGATTGCGTTCTTGTTTTAACCTTTGTCTGTAAGGGGATCTTAAGTGACCTGAAAGGCGCCCATAAATAAAATGTATTATTATTATTATTATTATTAAGTACAAAATATGTGTTTGGTGGATTCATAATTCTGTTGCAAACTAGCGATGATGACGTTTAAACGTTTAGTCGATTAACCCGGCACATGACGCTGAGCACAACATGCAGAATAAGAAGCAAAACCTCAGCAAATCGAGTCTGAACTTTAGAATCAGGCCTGCAATACGAATGGTTTTTTCATTCTTACCAACACAGGGCTCCACAGAAGGATGTACTCGCATCATTAACTGAACATCTGTAACAAACTTTGATCAGTCAATCCTTCATCCCTTCTTTCCAGTTTCCAAACAATAAATCATGTAAATTAATTAAATCTTATTCTTTCTTTCACTCTGTGTAGATATGGCTGCTGCAAACTATCATTGGTCTGAGGATCAGTTTCTCTGCTCCATCTGTCTGGATGTGTTCAATGATCCTGTCACCATACCATGTGGACACAACTTCTGCAAAAATTGCATCACTGAACACTGGAACACCAGCGACCAGTACAGGTGTCCAATGTGTAAGGAAGCTTTTACCAATAGACCTAAACTGAGGGTCAACACTTTCATCTCTGAGATGGTTGGTCAGTTCAGAGACAAAGCTCAGCAGGAAGCCAGCAGCAGCAGCAGCTCAGAGCTACAAGAGTCCAAACCAGTAGAAGTTCTATGTGAAGCCTGCACTGGACCCAAACTGAAGGCCCTGAAGTCCTGCTTAGACTGTCTGGTCTCCTACTGTGAGACTCACCTGGAGCCTCATCTGACAGCTTCACGTCTGAAAAGACACCAGCTGATCGACCCTGTGGAGAACCTGGAGGACAGGATGTGTACGAAGCACGATAAACCTCTGGAGCTGTTCTGTAAGACCGATCAGACCTGTGTCTGCATGCTCTGCTCTGTTTTAGACCACAAGACACACAAGTTTGTTCCTCTGAAAGAAGAATATGAAGAAAAGAAGGCAGAGCTGGAGGAGACAGAGGCTGAAATTCAGCAGATGATCCAGAAAACTCGACTGAAGATTCAGGAGATCAAACACTCAGTGGACCTCAGTAAGGACGATGCAGACAGAGAGATGGCAGAAGGTGTTCGAGTCTTCACCGCTCTGAAGGAGTCTGTTGAGAGAGGCCGGGCCGAGTTCATCAACACGATCGACAAGAAGCTGAAAACAACAAAGAAACAGGCCGAAGCTTTCATCAAAGAGCTGGAGCAGGAAATCTGTGAGCTGATGAAGAGGAGCACTGATGTGCAGCAGCTCTCACGCTCTGAAGACCACTTCCATCTAATCCAGAGAGTCCAGTCTGTTAACTCTGCTCCACCCACCAAAGACTGGACAGAGGTTAATGTCTGTCAACCACTTTATGAGGAGACTGTGAGGAACGCTGTGGCTCAGCTGGAGGAGACTCTCAGTGAAGAGATGAAGAAGTTGTTGGATCAAGCTGAGCTGAAGAGAGTCCAGCAGTATGCTGTGGATGTAACTCTTGATCCTGATACAGCACATCCTGATCTCATACTGTCTGAAGATGGGAAACAAGTTCATCATGGTGACGTGACGAAGAATCTTCCAGACAACCCAGAGAGATTCTCTCTTTGTGTTAGTGTTTTAGGAAAGCAGAGTTTCTCTTCAGGCAGATTTTACTTCGAGGTTCAGGTTAAAGGAAAGACTTGTTGGTTTTTAGGAGTGGTCAGAGAGTCCATCAACAGGAAGGGATTAATCACACTGAGTCCTGAGGAGAGTTTGTGGTCTATATGTTTGAGAAATGGAAATAAGTACACAGCCCTTGATGACCCTCCAGTCCGTCTCTCTCTGAAGTGTCGTCCTGAGAAGGTGGGGGTGTTTGTGGATTATGAGGAGGGTCTGGTCTCCTTTTATGATGTGGACTCTGCAGCTCTGATCTACTCCTTTACAGACTGCTCCTTCACTGAGAAACTCTTCCCTTACTTCAGTCCCTATCTTAATAAAGGAGGCAAAAACTCTGCACCTCTGGTCATCTCTCCTGTCAGTGTGAAATAATCACTTACTTTCTATATTGATTTGACTTCAAAAGAACAAGGCTACATAGTCTTTGTCAACACTATATTTTACATCTTTCTTGAACAGAATCTGCTGTTCTTGAGGTATTAAACACCTGGGATTGATTCTTAATCTTCTTCTGTAAATATACACAACTTTTTTTTAATCAGAAAGGACCCATGAAGATTATTACAATTATTGATTGCCGTAGTGAGTTTTGGTCCTTCCTACCATTTATCTGTTTCTTAATGATTTGGGGGCCTTTTATTTTGAAGGCTGGTTTGCTTCTTACCTGCTTAAGACTGGATAGCGCCGGTAGGTAGGCTATCAGTGCGTTATTGATGGAAACTTGTCGTCATCCTCTCACATCTTATCAACCAGCTGGTAGGCGTACAGTGTATTTTGTCGATTTGATTGTGAAGTGTGGGTACAGCAATCCTGCTAACAACGTAGCTGTGCTAGAATAAATGCTAGCATTAAGCTTAGCCATGCTATTTTAGCCACTAGCTGTTAGCCATTTGGTCGTTGAATTTTGTATCTGTTTCTGACGTAATAAAGGTCATAGTATTAAAGGTTTTCAGGTTATGGATTGTATTTTTTGGTGTAATAAGTAAATGGGTGAACAGATCTTTTTTTTTATTATTAGTGCTGGGTATGAAAAAAAAAATTTTCCCAACTCTTTTCGCGCGATTGGGCAAAGGTAGAGGAAGTGTTTCACAATATTTTCAGGATTGAGAGAAGAATTACAGCCATGCTTAGGTATGGTAAATGGACTTGAGCTTGTTTAGTGCTTTTTAGTCTTCTGACTACTCAAAGCGCTTTTACACCGCAGGTCCCACATACACATTCACACCCTGATGGTAGAGGCTGCTGAGTGAAGAGACCATCAGAAGTTACTAATCCCATTCATACGCCACCGACGAAGCAGCGGGAGTAAGTCGGGGTTAAATGTCTTACCCAAGGACACATCAGACGTCAAACCCCCGACCTTCCGGTTGACAGATGACCAACTCTACCAACTGAGTCACAGCCGCCCCTATATGGTATGGTATAACGCCTTACTGAGACTAGACCACATGTCTGTTGTTTTTGAGTAGTGGGCAATTGTTCCCAGCTCTGCTTCTAGCTTATTACGATGTGGGGATCTGTATTAAGCTAAGTTAACACATACCTGGCATCCACGGTTTTGATTATCCCCTTAAAGCCGTCTCTTTTGGCTGTATGTAGCAGGACCATGTCTTTGGCCAGATAGAAGGTTATTGCATATGTGACCTTGTTCCAATGTTGGCTTAGCTTCTCATAGGCAGTCCTTCGAGCCAACACTTGCTCAGACATTCTTGGTATTCCAAGACTTCCTTTCTGCTGACGTGGTGGGAGCAAATTGCTGGTGTTGCCTCCTCCAGGAACAACTGTAGCTCGAGAACTTTTGCAATAAATGGTCGTTTGGTCCACGTCTGATTTTATTTTAAATCTGAAAAGCCTCCACAGAATAGACACAGCTCTTCTCTTCAGCACAAGTTCTTCTTGTGTGCCTTCATTTCCGTTTCTTCGATCTCCAACATGTCCATCCGTCTTCTCCACTTGAAAGCTAAATGCTACTGCTAGCACAGATCGTAGTTGTGGCGATGTATCCGATCATGCCTTTCAGCGGTGCCGAAGTGAAAAGGGTTTACTCTTCTCTTCTCTCAAGAGAGTAAACAACCATTTTTTCAGCCATTATTTGTCTGTATTGTGATATATGAAATTAAAATTCATATCATCGGTAAACTGCCCAGCACCTTTTATTTTACTGTTTTTTACCGGGTAAATGTATCAAATGTTTTCAATACTTTAATGACCCATACAATAAACCTTCATCTGTTGTCATGTTTTTATGTTGAAAATGTTTCACTATCTCTGCTTGAATATGTGGTTTTACTTTTGATGGTTATCGTAAAATCCAAGGTGTAAGACGCATTTGTAGCTGTACACTACGCTGAACAACAGAAATCGTCACGCAGGACGACAGTTTGAACCTTTTCTTCTCTCCTTCAACATCGGACTGCGTCTTATATTCTGGATTTTACGGTATTTGTATTTTTCTTTGTTTTCTTTATAAATATCTTACGGTGTGTTTGTGGAAACTATTGCCATGGTATAAAGTGAATAAAAGTTCATAAACCATCAGACTAAAGAAGAATCCATTGCCCTACTCGGGACGCTTCACTAATCCTTCATAAATAATAGATCATTTGCTTTAACTATTCTTCCTCCTTTGTGCCTGTGTTTTATGATGGTCCAAATAAATCAAGAAAACAAACCCTTCATACTAACGTATTGATAAACTGATTAATTGAAAGTACTGATTACCTGAAGCAGCGAGCTCCTCTGCGAAGAAGGGGTCGCTGAGATCGACGTCTGGAGGAAGCTCGTCCTCACTGAGCTCATCGTCACTCTCTCCCTGAGACAAAAAGTAAAAATCTGAATCATTAATAACTTTGTGACATACATCATTACAGGTTTGTTGTTTACATGTGTGATCCATAGACTGTGAATATTAATGGATGAAGCCTGAGTTTTAAACCTCCTGACAAACCGTTACACCGCGCCCACCTGTCAATCAGGTCAGCTACACGCCTTATTGTGAATAACTCTTATCCTTCATCAATTCATTTGAACCAGGCTGTAAACATGTTCATCTCTGCTGTAAAAACAGGCTTTTTAGAATGGGTGTGTATGTGACTTCCTGTGCTTCTGCAGCCAGCCTCTAGTGGACACTCGAGGAACAGCGTCGGCTTTACTTTTCAACACCATCACACTACTCGGTGTGATCACCTGTCGTCCTCTCTCACCTGTTTCCTCTGACTTTTCTTCTGCTTCTTCTTGTCTTTCTTCTTCTCTAAAAACTCCTCCCACGGCGTCAGGTTGTCCTTCCCCTCCATCTTCTTCTTCACCAGCTGCTCCGTCGTCTCCCTCAGACCTGCACACGCAGACAGCAAAACGCATTAACTCACTCGTTAAGGAAATAATGGAAAAACATGCGATTTGAATTTTTTTTATAATTCGACAGCCCTAGTCTTTATGCAAGGTTTAGATATTCAAAGTGTACTACTCTTTTAATGTTAATGAGTGTTTGATCCATCCTGCCTGCTGACATTAAAGGTACCCTCATACCTGGCACCCAGGTGATCTCCATCTCCATGTCTTTGTCCTCCTGCAGCTTCTTCTCTTTGTCCTGGATTCCTTTGAGCAGCTCTCGGTACTTAGAGATCTGCTCCTCGCCGCTCTTCTTCTTCTTCTTCTTCTTCTTCTTCTCGTCCTCTTTCTGGGGTTTCTTCTCCACCTTCAAGACCGGCTCTTCAGTCTGTTTGGCTACAAAACGAACAAAACGTCAGAAAAAGCTCAAAGTTCATCTCACAATAAAGCCGCGGTAAAGCGTCTTTAACCGTCTCACCGTCTGTCGCGTTGTCGTCCTCGTTGTCTTCTTCGTTCTCCTGCTCTCCAAACACAAACCCTCCTTCCTCTCTCTCCTCTTCAGATTCTTCGTCGCTGGAGGAGGCCAGGTAGGCGTTGAAATCCATGTCCAGCAGCTCCTCTTTGTTGAACTTTCTGTTCATGGCGGTCACTCGATCGTGGTCCGTCTCATCCCACGTCAGCTGAACCTGATGGGTTAAACACGGAAACATCAGCGTGAACGTCATGCATTTGTCAGTGAGCGGGTTTTGTTTTGAAGCTCTGTCCGTCTTTTATTTGAGCTGATGAAAATAAACCGTTATTCGCAGCCCGTTGTCTCACCTTTGACGTCGTGGTGGCTGATGAGGTAAACACTTTTGGCGTGTAAGCCGACAGATTCACGTCCGTCGCCACGTCTTTGGGCTCCTCGTCGAACTGGACGTCATCAGGAATAAACCTGTTCAAGAAAGGTTTGAGATTCAATCATACCGTTTAATCTCTTCCTGATTACTTTAACTGTTTGATATTTGATGACGCTCCTCTTGTGTCTAAGATTGTTAAGATTTTAGATATTTTGGTACCACATCAGTAAGATCAGTGAGATGTGCGAAATGACACAGTGAGCTTACTATCTGATCATTAAGGAAACATGCTATGTTGAAGTGCTGGCTTCTCTGACAACAATGCAGCAGCCAGTATGTCCTCCTTCTAACTTTAGATTCTGCTCCTGAATGCTCTGGATTTGTCTGGACCAGAGAAGGTAGGCGCTTTAAGACCCCCCCACACGGCCGTTTTGGACGCCCCTCAGTTTGTCAGATATGAGAGCAGTTATCAGGTCAACAGGTGTTGCAGCGATGGAAGCGGACAAGAGAAGTGGTTCAGATAGAAGTGATTGTACCCGACCTAAAAAGCCTCTGCATGTTTCTAATAAGCTCCACGAGCAGAAACGTGCTCAAACTAGGATCAATATTGGAGATGCTTTTGAAAAATGGAGAGAGGTTAGAACACAGAAAGGTTTACAGACCCATGCAGAGCTGGATAAACACTGAAGCTTCAGAGTCCACCACATGGTGGCCTGAGTGAGCATCCACTCTAGAGAGGAGGGGGGAGACAGCTCTCTACAATGTTTAGAATTTAGACTGCAGTACCCATTTTAAGCACTAGGTGTCAGAGTTACATACTGCTCCTTTAAAACGATAAATTCTCTTTTCTAAAAACATCATCTTTTTTAGAAGACAGGTGTGCAGGACAGGAATTAATCCCCATAAACTACAGGTTACCTCCTGCACACGGTCTTAACTTGCACACTGTGAAATGATTCAGAGGACTTTTATGTTTGTTGTCATGGTATCGAAACATGTACTGATAATATGTCATTTTTACTAGAATCGTATCGAGTTTGAAGTTCTGGTATCGTGACGACCCTACTCCTGTCTCCTCCTCTCACCGCAGGTCAAGGACTGAGCAGCTGCTCTCGTACTCGTAGCCGTCACACTCTTCGTAGATCTTAGCCGCCGTGTCAACAGAGTCACACTCCACCACGGCGTAGTAATACTTCAGACGCTTGAACTGGTAATCCCGCATCTTCTCCCTGTAAACCCTGAGAGGAGAAACACACACACACGCACAATAAACACACACACAGTTTTTTGAAGACTCCGTCTGTGTGACTTTTTAAACTTTGTCTTTATTTACTTCTCCTCCTCGGTGTCGTTGTCCGAGTCGTCGGGCAGAGCTCTCAGCTCCAGCGGTCCCTGGGTCTCCTCTGACTTCACACGCTCCTTTCCAAACTCTGACGGGTATACCTGGAGAGTGAACAATACCCAGCATGCAATGCGGTTTATCTCTCTTACACACAACAATCTCTCTTCCACAAGTGGTTAAATCTAAATAATACTTCAAACATATATTGGTGCAAAACTCCTGATATTTCCTCCTCGTATTTATTCTGCAGAAAGTCAGAGTGAGCTGATGTGAGAACGCAGCAGGATATAATCAGGAGAATTCACCTGGAGCCAGTGGGAGGGGCCAGTGGGAGGGGGTGGTGACCTTTATTCCCTGCTGCACGACCATAGACTGTCTGCACGCCACCTCTACCATCTCTGTACTCTAATGAACCTGCTGCTGCATGTTTCCTGTTCTCCAGCATGTTCTTCTCCACTCTTTAGTTCACATTGTAAAATAAATATAAATAGGAAAAGTTAACCCTTTCTGCTTCGTTTAAACCTGCACAGATTTCAAAGATTTTAGGAGAAACGTTGTCGATCTCTCTGACAGCTTAAGTTACTTTTTAAATTAACAGAGCATGTGAAGAGGTTTTTAAATTAAAGTAAGAACTTTAACAGTTTCTAAACTTTAGGAAGTGGGACATTTTCCACCCTGAGTTTTGCCTCTCAGGCTAAAAACAGGCCCTGGATCTGGAGAGGTGTTTGCTGGAGCTTCTGGAGGATATGTTTTTTTTTAATCCGTGCAAACTTTGAGAATGTTTTAAAGAATCTGAAAATGTGGGCAGAAAAAGTTTGCGTGGTAATCCTAAATTTCTTCTGGCTGTGAGTCGTCGTCTTTGTGTGTTCAGAGAAGTTTTTACCTTGACCGACAGCACAGCTCCTCCTTTAGGGAGGAAGGAGTTGAACAGAGCGAGCAGGTCTTTGGCTTTCATCCGGTCCCAGTCCATGTTACAGACGGCCAGCCGGGCGGAAACCTGAACACACACACACACATAAGACTTTGGGGTCAAGCGTACCCTGACCTGGTCCCAGGTCCCTGTTGTGAAACCCTTAAACACAATCATCTAACTAAACATCCTTGTCTTGTGTCTGAAGTGTTAAACGAGCTGACACTTTTCCACGCTCTTCCTCACCTCGTCACTCCGCGGAGCGTCCTTACACAGCTCGCCCCAGTTGTGTTCGATCTCCTCTTCCTCCTTCTTCAGGAGGGCCTCCACCTCGTCTTCATCGTCCTCGTCTGAGCTCGTCTCGACGTTTCCCTTCCCTCTGGCCAAATCCGGCCCGCTGTCACTGTCCTCCTCCGAGTCCAGCCCGGACTCCGCCTCCGAGTCTGAGTCGCTCGCCTCATCGCTCCCGTCTTCTGCAACATCCTCATCATCATCATCCTCCTCCTCACTGCTGTCGGCGACTCTGTCTCCCAAGTCGACGTCCTCCTTCTCTGCAGATTTCTCCTCTTCATCTTCATCATCTGAAGAAAATAATAAAAAGTGGTAAAGAGTCCATCAAAACTATTCCCATTTATACACTGCCGAGGAAGCAGTGGGAGCAACTCTGGGTTAAATGTCTTGCCCAAGGACATATCGGACATGTGGCTGCAGGAGCTGGGGATTGAACCCTCGACCTTCCAGTTGAGAGACACCGACTCTTCCAACTGAGCCACTACTCATTTTATAACAGTCAAGTATTTGGTACTATTCAGCTGTGCTCCCACCGTTTTCTGTGAATGCACCATTGTGACCTCAAGAGGGAGAAAAGATGGTAAAAAGTGGCGCCGCCAGCATGGTCATTGTCACATTGATATACAGCAAAGCTCGCTATACACAATGAATGGAGGTGAATCGGTGATCAAAGCACGTTTGTTGTGGCCAAATGGATATATTAATTATTTACAGTTAAAAAAATAGAAAAGAGACAAACATGAATGAATTTAGAATTACATTATTGTTTATGTCTGGTTTTAGCTTTTGTTAATTGATTTGGGGGTATTTGTGCTATATTTCTCCCTCTTTGGGGGCGGAGCCGCGGCCTATCTGCAGTGTAATTTAAGTTGATTAAAGACACCTGGGGCAGCTATGGCTCAGTTGTAGAGTTGCCACCTCTCAACCAAAAGGTCAAGAGTTCAATCCCCAGCTGGGTAACATGTCCAATGTGTCCTTGGGCAAGACACTTAACCCCAAATTGCTTCCGCTGCTTCAGTGGTGGTGTATGAATGGGATTAGGTACTTCTGATGGATGATACTACATAACAATCATCACTACCATCAGTGTGTGAAAGGATGTGAATGGGTGTGTGTGACGTGGTGTAAAAGCACTTTGAGTAGTCAGAAGACTAGAAAAGCACTATATAAGCTCAAGTCCATTTACCATTCACCTGGGGCGAGAGTGGGGAAGTGGAACAGTTTTTAGACTTCAAAGGGCCGCTTAGGATATACGTGATATAGCGATCTGATTTGTTTATTTTATTTTGTGAAGTTTAGTTTCTGCTGAAACGTTTTCTATTCATAAATGTAGCTTATAAGTTGACTTTGGATCCGCGGCTGCCTTTTGTTTTTATTTGATAGCGTGGTACACCCGCTCAGCAACGGCTTACCTAATTGATTTTGTCTGAAGCCATCTCAACGTTTGTCTGCATTTCATACCGGTATAAAGGACGCAGCCTTCTTTTAAGATCAAAGGTGTTATGATCCAGATTTTACAGTATTGTTTTTAGACACAATAAAGTGAGGTGTGTTTGATTCACAGTTGGTGCATGAAAGTAAAACATGCCACAAGACCCTCTTTATAATCAAGTTTGTCATGAAACATGGACTGGAAACGTTTGTTGATATTGATCTTGCGCTCTCTCTCTGGCATTTCCCAAAACCTGGGATCCTTCTGCACGCGAGGGAAACGCTCATCAGCGCCCTGGCTCTTTTTTGACGACATGATGTCAACTCAAAGTGTCACCTGAGGAATAAAAACAAGACATATTCAAACATTTAGCAACACAAACAACAGCCATTCATATGCCGACGAAGCAGCGGGAGCAATTAGTCTTGCCCACGGACAGAGAGAGAGACGGAAATTTAGAGCCTGTTTGGTCTGTGATTCGGTCTGAAATAATCCTAGCAGTGTTGATATCCAGAACAACATCTCAGCCTGGAGTGTGATATTACTTTTAAACAACAGTTAAGGAATAAGATGATATTTTAACTCCACCAACTCAACTGGTGCCACGATCTAACTGAAGATAAGACTGTTGCTAAGCATCCCGAAGATTCTATTCGACCGTTGGTGACCATGGTTACCGCAGAGCAGCTACTCGGTGGTGTCCATGGGTTTGACTTGTGACACATGGTCGGGTGAATCTTGAGTGCTGAAGGCAGTTTGAGACGGACAGCAGAAGAATTAATGACTTTTTCAATCTCATACGGACCTATGAAGCGTGGAGCTAGCTTCTTGGACGGAACACTGAGAGGAATATCCTTAGCATGGAGCCAAACCTTCTGTCCCACCACATAGTCCGGTGCCGGGGTCCAATGCCGATCGGCCAGTCTTTGGTTGCGCTCCCTGGAACGGAGCAGGGCAGCCCGGGTCCCCCTCCAGACCCGACGAATCCTCCGCAGGTTGGCCTGCACCGAAGGAACAGCCAACTCCTCTTCCTGTGCAGGAAACAGGTGAGGAAGGTACCCCGGGGAACTTTCAAAAGGAGTCATACCTGTAGCGGCGCTGGTCAGGGAGTATGAGAGTACTCGATCCAGGATTGGTGGTTGCTCCATGAAGCGGGATCCTGAGTGCAGACACACCGTAGTGCTGCTTCGAGGTCCTGGTTAGCTCTCTCCGTCTGACCGTTAGTCTGAGGGTGAAAGCCAGAGGAAAGACTAACAGTTGCCCCCAGTGCCCGACAAAAAGCCCTCCATACCTGGGATGTGAACTGAGGACCCCGGTCCGAAACAATGTCCATGGGAATGCCGTGAAGCTGGAACACATGGTAGGTGAGTAACTCAGCAGTCTCAGAGGCAGAAGGCAACTTAGGAAGAGCCACAAAATGAACAGCTTTAGAAAAACGATCAACAATCGTGAGTATAGGCGGAGGAGTGGCGTTGCCACTGCGGCATGGATGTGAGTCTCCACTCGGGAGAGGCTGGCAGAGAGATCACGGAGGGAATCCATAATGCCTTGAAGGGACTGGGCATGCTGACCCAGCCGTTCTCCTTGGCTGGAGATGGCTCGACGGAGGACGTTAAGTTGCAGCGACTGGTCGGAGTGTGCTGGGTCATCATGGCCTGAGTATTCAGTTACGACTCGGCACGAGAGTACGACCCAAAAACGAAACTCAAGAGAACAGAGGCACAATCCAAACAGTCTTTAATGTGCAACAAAAAACACAATGCCAAAAGAGAACAAAATCCACAAAGTAGAGGCTTCCACGAGTAGGCAGGCAGGCACAAGCACAAAACACCAGGCACTGAGGCAGAGAAGCACAAAGGTAGATGTTAGCAAAAACACTAGAAGTTCACACACAATGATTCACAGAGATAACGGCCAAAACGAGGTAAATACCATAGAGAGATATTGTATACTCAGGCGACAAGTGGTGAAAGGACCGGAGTAGATAAACTGTTGGAGATGAGGATGATTGATTGCACCTGGGCTGCCTGGGGAGAAAACCACGCCCACCAGCACTCACACACACCTGACACACAGGGGAGGAGAAACAGAGGGTTGAGACAAACAGGGGAAATCTAACAACAAACATGAGGTAGGGAGGGGCTGCAAGGATGAACCATAACATGTATAGCGCTTTTCGAGTCTTCAGACTACTCAAAGTGCTGTTTCACAGAACCCAACATTGACCTTATAAAACTGCAAGACTGACAATAGCAGGTGTGTCAAGGTCTGTCTAAAGAACTTGTTTGACTGCTCTAAATTTAGTTTCTGAACATTTCCAGAAACCACTTAAGATGTTAGATCACTCCTATAAGACTCAAAGCAGGTATTTTACAACAGCCCTGTGACTCAGAGGGAAGAAATGAGCCTCAGTTAGAGGCGGAGCCACAGGTGAGGGAGGAGAGCTTCAGCGTCACTTGGAAGAAATTAAACTTAAAGTTTGTCAGGGTGCCGGCCACGCAGCCGTCCAGAAAGGTCTCGTTTCTCTTAAAAGAAATTAAACTAACTTCATCCAATCTTTGTCAACGACACAGCAGAGTCTCTGCAAACACTGGTGAGTACAGCTGATCATGTTTACACTTTGAACCAGGATTTACACTCAACTCTTAATTTCACTCTCTCTTCATATTCGAGCTTGTTAAACTGTATGTGTGTGTGTGTGTGTGTGTGTGTGTGTGGGGGGGGGGGGGTGTGTACTTCCTGATATCGTTGTTGTTCTCTGATAACTTCCTGCAGCCAAACTGAATTCTATTTCCTCTGGCTGTTTCACAATAAAATGATGCACAAAGACGAGCAACACTATGTCTTCCTGTGAGGGCCCTCAAGCCAGCAGGACCTGCTATTGTGTTTTGCCCTTCTGTCTGTGTGTTTGTGTCGTGGCAGGTTACTGGTGGGCAGAGTTCTGCCACACTTGGGCAGACATGACTAGTCTCCCAGTTGTAGGCTATTTAAGATTGGGTGGCAACCTCTCATTCATCCATCCTCTTAGTTATTTGCTATGAGCATTAAGGAACACAACGTTTTGGTGCTGTGCACCTGGGGGACTAGAAAAGTTGTGTTCTTTAATGCGCATAGCAAATAAGTATATCTTTGGGAGCCATAGTGTTGCGATTCTTTGTGCATCACATCTAGTGATTTATTTACGACTCACTCATCTAAATAAGTGACGTGCATGTGTTTGCTTACCTTTTCAGTTTCACAATAAAAGCCTTGACATGGAGAAACCACAATGAGACTTCATATTTGTAGAAATCAGAGAAGGAAGTGAAATTTGTTTTCATTCAAGTCAGCAAAAGATTTGTAAGCAGTAAAATGTTGCACTAAAAAATCATCTGCACAACAGTACAGGTCAAAATCAGCTGTTTTACCAGCAGAGGGCGCTTGTGCTTTTCCTAAAATGGCCATTATAAGGTCGTCAAAAACCCTTTTGGAAACAACTTGTTTAAACAATGCAATCTTTGTGAAAAAGGCGCCCTCTGGTGGACGTCTTTGCCAGTGCTTTTCCTCTTTAGCTTTCACTTTCACTTTTCACTCAACACGTCTCAACACATTGTGAAGTTCTCCTGGATGTTAATCCTTCCAATTGTCATCTGATGTGAAGTGCGTCTAGCGCAAGTGAGTTAAAGGGTTGAGAATATATGTTTTATGTTTTATATGTATCGGGGTCCCACGCCTACAATCCCGGACTTCATTCACCCTAACCCAAGAGAGTTTGCCAGACTGCGACTTGCTCTAGATAACATCCTGCCTCGAGACGCGACAGAACGCTTCAAATTCCAGATACTAGTGGATCATCTGCAACTGGAAGAAGCACTGCTCATTGCTGACTCCTATA